ACTTGAGACTTGAGGATAAAGACTTGAGACTTACTTGAGACTTGCAAAACAATGACTTGGTCCCACCTCTGGTTCCTGTGCTACTGCGAGTGTAAATACTGCTCCTCCCCCCTCTGCTCAGCACAAGCACAAGGCTCACGTGCAGAGTGAAGCGACAAAAAGTGCAAGAGAGAGTGTGAGAGGGAAAAGAAACAAAAACAAAAAAACACAGCTCCCAATAAGGAGATTTCACTTCAATGCGTCGGCTCTAAGACGCATTGGTTCGCTACCGACACATAACTAATACAAACTCTGAAGCACGTAAAACTCCAAAACACGTGAAACCTCCAAAACAGATACAAATTCCAAAACACAATGGAGGTGTTCCAGGATGCTAGGGGTAGTGTTGAGCTTTGGTTACCTAGTGGCTACACAAGCCAGGACGTATAGGAATATATATGAGTGTTTGTGTATAAATACACACACAATAGACATATGCTTCCAATTGTGTAATTTAAGTGATCTAGGTAGCTTTGTTTTGGAAGTTCAGTTAACGCTAGCAACGTGTTTTGGAGTTTATACGTGCTTTGTCTCTAGGGGCCACCATATATATTTATATAAACATATATAAATAAAACCACATTTGTTTACATTAGTAATTCCTTTGGTGCACAATTTTATATTGTTGTCGATAATAAATTAATTAAAACAACAAAACAACCCAAAGAGCCAGTTGGGAGCTGAAAGAGCCGGCTCTTTTTAGTGAGCCGACCCAAAAGAGCCGGTTCTCTAGAAAGAGCCGGAATTCCCATCACTATCTGACACTGGAGCTCTTCTCTCTCTGGCATGTTTGCTAAGTAGAAACAGCTGCTCAGAGAGGTGGTACCAAAGGCTGGACAGAGGGCAGGACCCACCCACACAGCCAAACACCACAGCAGGCTCTGCTAGAGCCATAACAGACAGTAGTGAGAGCTGCTGTGATGTGTGGCTTGGAGACAGTTGCACTGACAAAAAGACGGAAGGGCGAGCTGAAGATTTAGATATGAGTTCATCAGAGGGACAGCTCAGAGTCAGAGAGGCTGAAAGGGTCTGGACATGTGCAGAGCAGGGAGGGAGGAAATACTGGAAAAAGGATGATGAAGATGGACGTGCCAGGCAGCAGGAAGAAAGACAGTCTGAAACAAGAGAAAGTTGCTACTGGCTGAGGCTGAATGTGTTCTTTCTTCTCAGCTTGGATGCTCTGTTTCATTCCTGCTGATGAAACCTTCATAGGATCAGCCTTTGTTTTCTCTCAGAGCTCCAACCAGCACCATCAGCAGCTGTTTGACATCAGAGGCAAAAATAAAACCATGAAGCTATTCCTTCAGAGAACCTCAATACTTTAAGAAAGGGGTGCAAAATGCACAGCCATCCATTCAAACGTTCTGCTGAGGCTCAGATGACACACTATATACGTCTCACATAGTTTCAGTGGGTGGTGCTTTTATATTTCTGCTGCAGTGTGAACAGACAGGTCCACAGCACAGCGGTCTGAGGAAGGAAGCGAGCAGTGCAGACAGAGACAGAACAGACAAAATACAAGACTGATCTGTGAAGCAGCTCTGTCCTCTACAAAGCTCTGCTCTGAATATCTGAGTCTGTTTGCTGATCTCTTTTCCTTGAATCCTTCCACGGGTGAGTCCTTAAACTGTTTGGTTGTTTTTCAGGTTTAATTGTGTTTCTGTGTTCCCATATGGTTCCCACAGTTAATCCATCACTCCTCTGGGACTGAAGCAACAGATTACAGTTACTGAAACAGTGTTGATGTTTTTGTAGACTGTTTTTTACAAACTGGCATTTAATTACTTTACTTTGTAATATTTAAACTGATGCTTATTAAACTTCTGTGCGGCTTAAATTGCAGCAGTCAGAGAAAAAAAAGGCAAAGGAACACCAAAGCAAACATTAAGTAAGAGGAAATTCATGGCAGTAGGTCAGATTCTTATAAATGTTAAACTATAAAAGGTCTAAATCCATCACTTATAACCATCAATTCTCTAAGTTTGTACTTGATTAAACTTTAGTACATTTTTTACTGTTAACTCCACCAAAATCAAACATGTGGATCTGCTTGTCGACCCTGCAGCTGAAAGAAGCTGAATTCCAAAACAAAATCTGCGCAGAGAACAAACCTTCTCAAGAGACCTCAGAGTATTTTCATGTGTAGGTCATTAATTTCCTTTCATGTCAGTAACAGCTGCACAGCTGTGAGGCCAGAACACACAAGCGTGGGCTCAGGGACACTCAGGAAATCTTTAAAACACAATAAATACCTTCATCCTGAAAAATTCCGGTAAGTATTCTCACGTTCATTAAAAACAGTCAGTTAATAACAATCTTAATAAGAGTGATGCTACTAAGTAATGAAAAAAATATTTCTGTTTTTTGCTTTTGGATTCTTGTATTTCTGGTGTTTGGAGTTCTGAGTTTTGTGTGACAGCAGTTGTTTCCTGTTGTTTAGTCTCTGTCTCTGCATCATGTTGCTTATCCTGACATTTGCTGTTCTTCCCTGTTTTCTGGACTTTGGATCTTCATTAACCACGATGAAAGTGGATTTTTTTATCAATTCAGTCTGTCACAGACTCTGAATTTGTGACCTCATGAAAGTTTTTGATAAAAAATGTGTGAGTAGAGGCTGAAAGTAAAGTGATGTCATATGTTTTTAAAGTCTATTTTAAATTCCATAATACACTGGAGGGTTTTTTTAGAGCAATTTATCACACCCTGCCATTGTGAAACATTGCAGTAAAACATGGTTGTGAAAGTAAAGTACAATTGTTGTCCTTTAAAGCTTCTCTGGTTTTTAAAACAGTTTGCACATGCATAGCCATATTTTCTTCATCCATTTCATATTTTTGCATTATGCGGCCTTTGTTAAACCCCTCTGTAGCCACTAACTTCCTAAATGTGTTCGGCTGGTGCCAATTGACCATACCTAGTCAGGTTTGGATAAAAGCATACTTGTTTAACACACAGAAGAAACCCCAGTGACAAGCTTGGAGCTTCCTGTTCAGGCTGTAATCACAAGAACATTACGTTACAGCTGTTGACCAATTGCTTTGACAAACCTGTGAGGCAGTAAAAAAATAGGGAAGGAGAGCTGCCTGACTGTTGAATGTGGTGTAGCTTGTTGCTCACAAGGGGCTAACTGATTACTGGGCTTCTCTCTCTAATGCTATAGGGTCTTTATCTTACGATATAAAACACCTTGAGCTCACTGTTGTTGTGATCTCATGCTGAAGGCACTCCAATCATGTAGTCAGGAAAACAATATCATCAACAAAGGTATAGAGTATAGATCCACAGTTTTGCTAAACCAGACAGACTATCATGAAAACATTTTGTCACTGCTTAGCGACAAAATACTTATAAGCACCTGAAACAACATCCAAGTTGTAGATACAGGAAGAGGGCGATAGATTGAAGCAGTTAGAACAGGACAACACTATTGACTAGAGATGGACCTATCCGATATTACGTGTCGGTATCGGTCCGATACTGACGTAAATTACTGGATCGGATATCGGAGAGAAATAAAAAATGTAATCCGATCCATTAAATATCAAAAAAGCACCTCACAAAACTTGCGACATGGCGTAACTCTGCTCATAACCATAGCATGTGGTCACGTGATAGAGGGCTGTGTGTAGCCTCCTACCAAACCAGCATTTCATCTCCGAGGAAGTTATCCCAGAGAGAAGTAAGGCAAGTGTGTAAGTTCATCTCTGAGTGTTTGTAAAGCATTCCCACGTTAAGCTTAACAACCGATATATGGAGCGACTGCCTCCCCCTCCGTCTCCTGCTGCTACTTCTATCATGAAACTGATCAATGATCAGCTGATTGGCTTTCCTGTCGCGAGTCCGTCTCTCTGGTTTGTTTTTGGCCCACTTTGCGCCAGAAAGAGGAAACCAGCGGCTGAACAACAGCAGCACGTTTAAGCTTAATAAGCTGTTGTTAGAATTTATTTAATATTACTTTCTACACTAGGATCTTTTTCTATGTAGCTGACGGCTGGTAACTGTGCAGGGGCGGATCTAGCAAAGTTTAGCCGGGAGGGGGGGGGGGCATAAACAGGGAAAAGGGGGCACAAAGACATACTTTTCTTTCTTATTCTCATTTAAAATATCTAGCTTTTAATAAATAATTATCTGAATCTTACACCCAGAGTTTTAATCTGATGTAAAATGTATAGAAGTCCATTACTGTATATAGTAACTATTAAGTCTAATATACCCTAGTAAGCTATAGTACTTTTTCCTTTGGGAAGATACTATCTGTGCAGTCTGCAATTCTCTTGAAGAAAGATGTTAAATCTATTTAATTATTCTTGAAAAATAATTTATTTCCCCACTTCCTGAGTTACAATCTGTTTAACTGCTTGAATAGGGTGGTGTGAAGCAGTCACCCATGTGGGCTTTATATGGTAAAATAATGTGACCAGTATCAGAATAAGAAACAAATTCACACTGTGCATCCTCACTTGGCTATTCCCTCACCCTCTTTTGTTCGTGTCCAATCATCTTTGCTTACTGAGAAGAATGAGGATCTAATGCACAGTAAAGAAATTGCCTAAATGTTATAAAAAATGTGCACAAGTAATTTGTCAGTCAGTTTTAATCAGGGTCCGGGATCCTTGTGTCTGTGGTGTTTAAAGAGTCATAATTCCATCGCCGATCTCTCCTCCGTTCCAACACTGCTGTAGGTTGAAAGGGGCAGACCACGTCATACACCCCTGTTGTCTTCATCGCAGAATCTCTTCCACCTTTTTTGGATTTTACTGTTTTTCAAAAATCTCCTCATGAGTGAGATTTACCAAAGATCTACCAAAGAGATTCTCTGTTCTGCATAGGCCTGAACCCCCTCAGTCAGATCATTAACAAGACTGGCTACAGATACCAACTACGGAATGGAGCAGTTCTCAGCCACCTCCTGTACATGTATGACATCAAGCTGTATGCCAAGAGTGAACAAGATATTGATTCACTGATCCACACCATGCACCAGGATATACAGCAATAACATTTGAATGCCGTTCAGACTGCAGAAATTAAGTCGGATGATGACAAAAAGAGGGAAGGTAGTCAGAACTGAGGGGATCGAACTACCAGAAGGCAACAATACAGACATAGAGGACAGCTACAAGTACCTCTGGATCCCACAGGCAAATGGGAACCATGAAGAGGTCGCTAGAAAAGCTGCAACCACCAAGTACCTGCAGAGAGTCAGGCAAGTCCTGAGAAGTTAGCTGAACGGTAACACCTACCCGTGATCAGATACCCTGCCGAGATAATATGCTGGCCAAAGGAGGAGATAGAAGCCACGGACATCAAGACAAGGAAACTCCTGACCATGCTTGGGGGGTTTCACCCCAAGTCCAGCACCCTGAGGCTGTACGCTAAGCAGAAGGAAGAAGGCTGGGGACTGGTGAGTGTCAGCACCACGGTCCAGGAGAGACAACAGCCTCCGGGCTGTGTGCCCAGACCGGAGGCTGCGGTCTGTGACCGGCTCCCGGTGCAGACGGCTCTCTGTTATAATGTTTCCTCACTTGGCTCATGCAAGCCCAGCCCAATTTTTACTCTTTAAGTGTGCACGTGTGTGTATGTGGGTGGGGGTGGGGGGATATATGTGTATTGAGAGTGTGGGGAGTGAGTTGGAGGGTGGGGTGGGCTGCTTTTAACTATGTAAAGCACTTTGTGCTACATTTTTTCTGTATGAAAAGTGCTTTATAAATAAAGATTGATTGATTGATTGAACAAACATCCACAAATACATCAGTAAGATGGCCCCAACTGACCCCGTGCTCAGTGAACACCTCAGGCAGCAGAAACCCAAGAAAGAGGAGAAAGATGAGGAACCATTGTGGAAGGACAGGCCCCTACATGGTATGTACCACCGGCAGACAGCAGAAGTGACTGATATCCAAAAGTCCTACCAGTGGCTGGACAAAGCTGGACTGAAAGACAGCACAGAGGCACTAATCATGGCAGCACAGGAACAAGCTTTGTGCACAAGATCCATAGAGGCTGGGGTCTATCACACAGAGTAAGACCCCAGGTGCAGGTTGTGGAAAGGGTGCAGGGTGTAAGATGCTAGCAGGCAGGGCATACATGGAACGCCGTAATCAAGTGGCCAGCATAGTGTACAGAAACATCTGTGCCGAATACGGCCTGGAAGTCCCAAGGTCAAAATGGGAGACGCCCCTTAGGGTGGTGGAGAATGACCGAGCTAAGATCCTGTGGGACTTCCAGATACAGACGGACAAAATGGTGGTGGCTAATCAACCAGACATAGTGGTGGTAGGCGAAAAGAACCAGACAGCCATAGTGATCCATGTAGCGGTCCTGAATGACAGCAACATCAGGAAGAAGGAACACGAGAAGCTTGAGAAATACCAAGGGCTCAGAGAAGATCTCGAGAAAATACTACTAAAACGGTTTGAGTCCGAGGGAGTAGATTGGTTAAATATTCCTCTCTAAATTCTACTTTGTTGTGAGTTTGTGTTTTAAGAAAAATTAATTGGAGTATTGGCTGCAGTGACTCCCAAACTAGGCGGGTGGCTCCAGCAGATCCCAGAAACAACTTTGGAGCTCTCTGTCTTTGGAGCTCTGTTTATGTAAAATCCTAACAGAGTTAGGAAATCCTAGCAGAGTTAGGATTTTACATGAACATTGATCTTCAGATGTGAACTTACAAAGCAACATTTCTCTTTTTTGATGCATAGTACTGTTTTCAATAGTTAGGCAGGCTCATTTAACAATAATCAACACATCATTGTATTCCCTCGTGACCATGTCATGGATCAACAGTAACACCTCTTTTTTCCTGTGGTTTTCCTCACAGATTGATGATGTGTCTCAGAGTTCAGCAGCTCAGCTTTACTGAAATGTTATGAAACTTAAAGAGAAAGTAAATCGAGGCAGAAGCTGATCATCGATCAGAGCTAACTGTCTGTGATTCTGCACTCAGTTCAAGTGGAGACAACAAGCTGAGTAAAAGTGCAACAGGTAAACACTGAGGATGGCACAGGTGACGATCAGAACAAAGAGCAGACAGGGAGACTTCTACCTGGACATGGATCACCTGCTGATGCTGATGCTGCAGCTGCTGCTGCTGCTGCTGCGGAGCTCAGGTAGGACTCTGACACACACATGAAAAGTAAAAAGGTTCAGATCCTTCAGAAAATTTAGGACAGATTTTATTCTTTTCACAGTTATGTATCCTGATATTCCTGCAGTGTCACATGGGTTCAAATTCAGTGATGATAATTCAGACTCACTTTGCTTTTACTCATGACAAATGTAGGAGTGACGCAGGCTGTAATCCAGTTTTAAAGGAAACTGTTAAATACCCCCAATTCTTTCATCTTTGGGCTGAAGGAAGAACAACACTCTGTGTTTAACGCTCAATCAACAATCACTTTAATCAATAAAATTCTCTTTATTCCATACAACACTTTGAGCATTACAAACGTCCGGACGGGAGATGTGCACAGGCAAATCTCAAAATGTCTGAGTTACCCACACTCTTATAGCTTCTCCCCCCTTCATACTAAGCATTCACATTTTTTCTCTCTCTCAGTGAGCCTAAGTTATGATCTTGGCTTCCTGTGCAGTATGTTTCAGACAAATAAGACCATGATTCTCTGAAAACAAAATTTCTTATAAATCAGCAGTATAATGCATCATAAAACAGTGTAATATCCCATTCCTGTTTTTTGTCAGAATAAACAATCAATTACAATCAAACAATCAATCAATTTGCTGGTCCCTCTCTAGTCTAAACAACGTTTCAGTAACTTTCCACTAGAAGATGGTCCCCTGTTATCTACTTTCTCCCAGGCAAGCATGAGCAAGAGTCTACAGCTCTCTACCCACCAAGGACACATAGTCTAACGCCTTTATTTTCAGGGCCGTGTCCACTTAATACTACATTATATGGTTATATGGCATTTTAGTTAATATAAAGCATAGAATTGAGGCACTTCAAATAATTCCATTCTGACAAAACCAATCTCATCTCTCTCTAAAGCCCACACTGAACAACCAGCTGAACACACCTAAAGGCTGTTTCCACCAGCTGGAATGAACTTTAGCCCACTGCAAAAAAAACTTATAGACTGCTCTGTAATGACTGCATCAGCTGCTTGTGAACAGAACAAAATCAAACAGAACAAACATTTGCTGTTATACTATTAGGAACATGTTCCTGAAAATGCTTGTCTTCTGAACTCTTTCATTTCACAGACTTTTAGTTTTTCTGACCAATCAAATTATTTTTAGACAATCTTGTCCTGGTTTGGTATCAAATATGTTCCTTCACACAAATGAAGAGAATAAAAGTTGGTTTTGAAACAGGTTTTAGAAATGTCTAATGTCTAACCAAATCTGAGGCCATGGTTCTCAGCCGGAAAAGGGTGGAGTGCCCACTCCGGGTCGGGGATGAGTTCCTGCCCCAAGTGGAGGAGTTCAAGTATCTCGGGGTCTTG